TCTCAAACCCATATCCACAGTTCTTCCAATAATAACCAGCTTCCCTGCTATGGCATTATTTTTTTCACGTGTGCCAGGTACATTGCTAAATGTAGCGGATTCTGAGTTCAAGAGCTTGCATCTCCAGCAGCCAAATGTCAACAAAGTAGCTGCTCTTCACCTCCTGTCTGTCTCCCTGACTCCAAAGTGAGAGACTGCAGAGGAGGAGAGATGGTGGGGAGAGCATCCTTGGGTGCAAGGACAGTTAATATAATGTCCCAGATCTGTCCCACCCGCACTACTGACCTACTGAATTGAATGGGGCTGGCACATGCAGCTAGTGACTCCGTTTAAGCTGTCTGCTTTCAGCTGCTCCAGGCAGCAGCCAGCGCCTACTGCAGTAGCTTACAAAGAACAGCTTCTTCTGGTCCTGATGTAGACAGCAATAGACTGCTCCTCAGAGAAACAGAGCCTAATGGTAAGTGAAAGGGAAGGGTTCTTTCAGCAGTTAGGGGAGAAAGAGTGCAGCAACTGGAGAGCAGCAGAGGGCAGCAGTTAGGTAATGGGACACTAGTAGAGAAGCCACTGGATGGGGGCAAAGATTAATTTCCCTTTTTTTCTGATTCAGACATTTCAGGCTGTGTATCCAGAGTTAGTCCTTTTAAAATAAAGGAACATTTTGTTTCCTACCTCAGCAATAAATGAAGTAGCCCTTAGAGTATGCCATGAGCTCTGCAGAGGACCTAACCCTTTGCACAGGCTCTCCCATCTGTCGCTGACCCTTCGGAAGTGTGGTGTAAAATAACTTAAATTACAACAAAACATAAACCTTTGCATAAGCATTTTCCAAAAACTAGGTGTTTCTCCCTGAAGGACTTCCATGGCTCAGACCCTAGTTGCCTTTGCCTCTCAGAGCATCTCCATTCTCTTTTATATCCTGGTTAACCCTGACAAGATCCACTGCCTGCATCAGCAATCATTACTCTGCATGTCCGTGGAAGGTTTTAGTGCCCAAGTTTAGGGCTTCCCCATAGAGAATCCCTGTATTCCTTTGGAGAGTCCTCTAATCAGACAGCCTGTTACATACGGCTTTTGCAACTGGAACCTCTGCTCTTGCACAGCTCCTCACAGGGGCTCGATATTGTGGAAGGAAGGGCACGAAAATAAATACTAACAGCCCTCGGTGCTTGTTCTACTCTGTTGCTTGGCATCTCTTGGATTCTCAAGCAGCCTCAACTGTGACCATTTCTTTCTGATGTGGAATTTGCTACATTATCCATGTTTTTTTAACCTCTAGCCTTCACTATAAAATGGCTGTCTACTGCCATTTCTTGTGAAATGTGAATGAGTAGAGCTGATCACAAAACAGGAAAACTTATCACAAACATTTCCATGAAAGATTTCCCCTTTTTAAAAATTTCTTGAATTTTTTTCACCAGCTGTGTTAAGATATATGCAAGTATTATGTAAAAGCTATTTTTAATGAAGGAAAAAGTATCTACTTGTCCATGCATTACCTAATTTACTTGGAGAAGTCACATCCATAGGAAATTATTGATGCCAATAATTTAATATTTTTTTAAAGGATTAAGTAATTATATAACTATATAATACCCACAGTTACTCAAGTGAATATAAAATTACAAAGGGCAACATTTTCAAAAGTGCTTAAATGATTTAGGAGACTAAATTCCATTTTCAGAATTGACTTAGGCACATAGGATCCTAAATTTCATCCCCAGGAAAACAGAACTTGTGCTTCTAAGTGAGTAAAACTTGCTTCAGAAAATGGGATTTAGGCACTTTTGAAAATTGTACATAAAGGCTCCAATATCAATCGATAGAGTAAAATCCTGGCCACATTGAAGTCAGTGGGAGTTTTGTCATTGATTTCAGTGGGGCCAGGATTTCGCTCATGTTTTTCATTGCATATGCTATATCCTACCTGGAGTAAGAAAAATAGCCCCTTCCTTCCCCCGGTGTATAATATCTTGGTACCCTCAGGAGGTTTAGGCCTTCCTCTAATGCATCTGTCATTGGCCACTACTGGAGGTAATATACTGAACTAGATGGAACAGTCCTGTTCTCACATGGTAATTCCTATGTCCCTATAATACTTGTCCCCATAAGGAGAGGGGGTATAATATCAGCTTTGAATTAAAAGGAAAATAAGTAGTAGGTGGAGAGAGAAGATGTGAGTAGAAGTGACAGTAGTGAACTGTGCAATGTGGTGGCTGAAATGGAATACAGCCAATGTTTGTTCCTGATGTTTTATTGAATAAAGTCTTGTATATATTATCAGTCCTTCAAAAGATGATACAAGTTTCTTCATGTCTATTTAAGTATTTCAGCAAATGCATATTTCATAAACCTCCACTTATTGCCACAAACTCAAATTGTCTTCAATTTGTCTGTCTGAATCAAGTTCACATTACATGCCTTGATGCAGTAAGTGTGTTTATGGTGAACAGTTGAACATCTGTTTCAAGGAAAACTCTACCCACTGCTCTCAAACCAAGAATCTAAAGGTACAAACAAGAGGGAAACAATTCTTATCTTGTGAAATGCAATTTTAATTACAATTGCCGTTTCTGGCCTATATGTTGGTGATAGCTTTCTTGCTGAAAAAGACACCACTTCTGCTACACACAGTATGGAGCCCATTATAGGGCATTGCAAATTAATTTTAAATTATAAAGTATTTTAGGGTTTAAAATTTAAAATATTTAAAGAAAATAAAGTTATTTTATTATAATTAAACTAGGTTAGGAATTGGTTTAAATTGTCTTACAGAAGGATTTCATGCTGCCAGTGTCATAAATGACATTACAGTTTCAGCAAGGTGATCAACACCAGTAGAAGACTCAGAAATATTAATTTGAGTGAAAATAAATAAGTGTCTTTATTATAAGAGCTTCTTCATGCTCCTACTGTTTGGCCAAATAGAGTAGATACAACTGTCTATTCTAAATTAGCTATTACCACTCAAGAAAGGGATCTTGGAGTCATTGTGAATAGTTCTCTGAAAACATCCACTCAACGTGTAGCGGCAGTCAAAAAAGCTAACAGAACGTTGGCAATCATTAGGAAAGGGATAGATAATAAGACAGAAAATATCATAATGGTATGCCCACTTCCTGAATACTGCATACAGATCTGGTTGGCCCAACTCAACAAAGATATATTCAAATTGGAAAAAGTACAGAGAAGGACAACAAAAATGTTTACGGATATGGAACAGCTTCCGTATGAGAAGAGATTAAAAAGACTGGGACTTCTCAGATTAGAAAAGAGACGCTAAGAGGGGATATGATAGAGGTGTATAAAATCGTGACTGGTGTGAAGAAAGTGAGTAAGGAAATTACTCCTTCATATAATACATGAACTAGGGGTCAGTGAAACCAGTGAAATTAATAGGCAGCAGGTTTAAAACAAACAAAAATAAGTATTTCTTCACACAACGCACAGTCAGTCTGTGGAACTCTTTGCCAGAGGACGTTGTGAAGGCCAAAACTATAACAGGGATCAAAAAAGAATTTGATAAATTCATGGAGGATAGGTTCATCAGTGGCTATTATCCAGGATGGGCAGGGATGCAACACCATTCTCTGAGCATCCCTAGCCTCTGTTTTGCCAGAAACTAGGAATGGACGATAAGGGATGGATCACTCGATGATTGTCTGTTCTGTTCATTTCCTCTGAAATACCTGGCATTGGCTACTGTTGGAAGACAGGAGACTGGGCTAAATGGACTGTTGGTCTGACCCAGTATGGCCGTTCTTATGTTCTTAACTGTCTTTAAGGGGAACTGCACAGGCTTTAAACCAAAAATCTGAAAATTCTTTCAAGGATTCCATGAGAGAAAATATTATATAGTCACCGTTTTTAAAATGTAACAAAATTTGAAGTAACTATCACCTTAATGAGAAGCAAAACTCCTAATTTCTGTGTCAGGATCAGTGACAAGTTCCATAAACAAAGATTTAAAACAGGAGTTCTCAAACTAGGGGTCGTGACCCATCGGGGGTCGCGAGGTTATTCTCTGGGGGGTTGTGAGCTGTCAGCCTCCATCTCAAACCCCGCTTCACCTCCAGCATTTATAATAGTGTTACATATTTTAAAAAGAGTTACTAATTTATAAGGGGGGGTCGCACTGTGTGAAAGGAGTCACCATTACAAAAGTTTGAGAACCACTGATTTAAAAGAACATCTCATTGTAAATCCCTACTGTACCTGAATTCCTTTTTTCCCCCTGATGTAACCCACTCTGGCTGTAAAAGTCTACAGCTCAGATTTTTCAGAATCTTTGTAAGGGAATTTCATTTAAAATACATAACTTCTTTCATTTATACACAATAGACTTTTTCATCTTTTTGCAACTTACATGTGGGTTTTTAAACTTACAGCAAAAACTTGTTCTTTAATCAGTTTTAAATAAACAATATAACATAAGAGCCACAGTTGTGTATGTTACATCTTCCATCACACAAATTTATCTGTAAAAACCTGTGGTAACTTTCTGAAACCAGCTGCTCCACTGGGATCTGTAATTCTGTCAACACACAGCTATCCATATCTGTGTTTCTCATGGTATTCTATATTTCATAAAAGCACCCTCATGCAGAGATGTTGCTTCTGGGCATAACACTAAAAAATGATGGTAGTGTCCCAGTTTAAAATAAAGGAGTCTGAATCAGAGTGCCTGACCCAACTGAAATAAATTCATATATTTGAAAGTCCCAGATCTTTGTAGTTGTACTTGGATCTTCCCTACTTAAAAGGGAACAAAGCTATCAGGACAGATACTAAGTCATTCACCATTCTTAGTATTTGACTCAAGAACTGAATTGCTTATTATATGCCATAGGAATAAATGAAAGTCATTGTATATATTCCAATCATAACAACATCTTGAGCTCTTTAAAATTTTACATCATCTGTTTTGATGGAATAGCCAACAATTCAGTTATTCATATTGCATTTGCACTTTTGATTAATAATCTCATTTTTTCCTTTGGCAGATGTACAACAAATGGCAATCGACTGGCTCACTGGAAATTTTTATTTTGTGGATCATGTCAGTGACAGAATCTTTGTGTGTAATCACAATGGAACTGTGTGCATTACCCTGATTGATCTTGATCTTCAAAACCCTAAGGCAATAGCTGTTGATCCAACATCAGGGTAAGAGTATTGTTCATATAACATGCTTGTTAAATTATACAATGCATACTTGCATGCAAAAAAATCTAAAACATTTATGTTTTATTTCAGTGCTTGTGCTTTTCAGGCCACACATTTACCTAATATAAACCTTAAATGACAGATTAATTATTAGCTCATGAAACTTCCTTAAGACATCCCAATGTGATAAGAATGCTACTTCTCTCTAGGAGAGTAAATAATACACCCATTTCATTCAGGTGTTTTGAGACATAATATTTGCAGTTATTTATTGAGCTGTTTATTTTGTTGTAAAAAATAAGTACAACAATAATATATGTAGGTAATGTGTACATTGAAAGGTCTTGCTTCAGTTGTCACAAGTAATTGCTGAACCATTTTAATAATAGTATATGTTTTTGTGACTTTAAAATTGCAGGAAAAATGGAAAAGTAACTTAGCTCTTAACAAGTTTTCTCCAGTACATTCTAACCCTTTTTAGAATATAAAGAAAAGGAATGTCGCAACCATCTTCTTATATTTTACTCCCTAATCTGTAGGGGCATTAGGACCTCATCACTAGTATGTTTCGGAGCAGAACCAAGCCACCAGACTCTCTTCATGTGCTCCTATTGGGAGTCAGTGAAATATAAACAGTATGGAATTGCATTTTTATTGCATAAACACATTCAGAATCATTTGGGGAGGAAAACCTCAGTTAAAATACTGGCCACTAAAACCCTTTACCTTATAACCACTACCAGCTAGAAAAAGTTTTCAAGCAAAATGATGAAGTAGGATGCATCACTGAGCATGGAGGAAATGATGTTTAAGATGTAAATTTCAATGAGGTTTTTGGAGTGGCTGTTTTGTCCTCCTTATTGTTTTATTAGTCTGCAGGTAGTTAAATATGAAATGACTGGTGGAATATGTCCTAAACTGCCATAAGCCTCTGCTCAATAAATAGGAAAATATTTACTGAAGAAACAGCTTGTCATCCATATGTGGACTTTTGTTACTCTTTACTTAAAGCCTGATTGAATATTAAGATGCATCATCACAATGGGTTTAATTTTGACAAGAACAGCTTGCATGTAAACTTTGCAACGGAAGCTGTATAATATAATTCCTGAATATAGCTGTATTTCTATTTGCAACAGATGGTAAACTTGACTCAGTCTGACTGCAGTGATGTTTCAAAAAGACATTAGTGAAAGAAGTTGTATTTAAACCGATTTGTTTGGTAATTCTCATAAGAAAGAACTGGAGGTTTTCAAATGGGCTAACAGCAGCCTTTTCAACTACATTTATTTACATGTTCTGTGCTGGATTTGCTAGTTGAATTCCAAACTAGTTATTAAATAATCTTGTCTGTCAAAAATATCAGAATTGAATTGAATTATTTTCCTTGAAATAAAGAACACAGATCTTTTTGGAACAAAACTGTCATACCAGAATATCATATATGTTAACAAATCTCCCTTTTGAACACCAATATCTTTCTTTCCCCTACTCTTCCCATTTTTCACTGTCATGATATCAAAGATCCTCAATTTGGCAAAGAATTTCAGAGTAGAAAAGCCTCATGTTGTTTGCACTTAGTCTCTGAAGGATTCCTTTGGCTTTGATAGCTGTTTAAATATAATTTTGTCATGTATCATTTATTGGAATAGGGAAATAACTTTTTTATATTTAATGAGTGTTCTGTACACTGAAGTCATGTATATTGTACATGTACATTGTGTGGGGGTTCTATACTTACTTTCAAGAACATTTTTTTCAGTTACACACATTAGAGATCATTTTTATTTTGTATGTTGTCTTGTCCATACCTCTTGCCAGCACAGGAAGTTTCCTTACATTGTAAATCTGACTTCAAACTACTATGAAAAATTTTTTAAAGCAACAAAGCTTCTCTCAGTTCCACTGACAGAACATTCCACTGTCTTTTCCTTTGCTCAAGTCCATCCTATTGTTCCTCGAAACAGTGTCACTCCCACTCTGGTATTTTTTCGCCCTCCATATAAACATAGCCCAAAAATGTTTGCAGTGTTCCAAGTGTGGTCCAACTGGTACCATACACAATACAACTTGATTTTGTACAGCATCTTTCATACAGTATCGCATAACCCTTTACTGTATCCCAAAATGCTTCACTGTATTAAATAATACAATACAGAAGGCAGCCTATTAGTCATAACATATATATATTGCTGGTGCAAAAATAAACAGTGTCTTAACAGTTTTAGATTTTTTAAATAATGATGTGAAGACTTAATCTAATTAATACATTAAAGTATTTCTTCTTAATGCCATAGGCTCAGCATGTGTCCTCTAATGGAAGAAACCACAGGTGGGAGTCTTAGCAGGGAGGAAAACTCTAAAGTTCCCTTTGCAGAGATCTCCCCCAAATGGTTACATGAGCAGTGGGAAAGGGGGTTCTTTTCCTCCCATGGAACGAAGAAGGGTTTAGCTTCCCATGGAAGATTCCTTCATGGAATCTTCAGATCCCAGAAGATCCATGCAGAGGCCATAGTCCCCACACGGGCTTCTAAGACTTCCTATTTCTGGCAGAGTGGAATCCCTGGACCCAGGGCTTCCTTTAGTGGGATCCTGAAGTGGAGAGGAGCATTGGAATAGTTAATAGAGTCTCAAGCTGTATTCACTTTCCTGCAGATTCATTATGGGGCATGGGAAGAGATGAAGTGCATCACCCCATTATTGAATAGCATTAAATTAAAGCTCCAGCCTCAGATTTATATTGAAGTAACTTGAAATGCATTGTTACTTGCATTTATGTTAGGTTGTGACATGAAAAGGAACTCTTTCCAAACTGGGCAGTTGCTGCATTCTGCTATTAGCTAGGACTACAATTACACAGAAAATGTGTGTGCCAACCCCATAACACTCTGTCTCCACAATCTTGTCCCAGCACCGTTTCACAAATGGTGGATCCTGACCCACATTCGGTCATGAGAAGGGTCTAGGTGGGTCATGCGGTCCACAAAAGAGCCCCCCCACACACACACTCTCACTTCCTGTGAGCAGCTGGATCTGAGCAGCAGCAACAGCATGGAGAAAGCTGCTGAAGCGAGCAAATGGACACTCAGTAGACTGGTAGTGACTATGTCCTGGCCATGGGGACAGTTGGGGACAGAGGGACTGGCTGGGGCTGTTGGAGAGGTGAGAACTGCAAGAGCAAGAGAAAGAGAGCTGAGGGGTCAGGCTGGGAAGGGGAGGAGAGGGGAGGGGAGGGGAAAGAAGAGCAGAGATAGTCCCAAAAAAGACAAAATGCAGATTGCCTTACTTAAATGTTTGGGAACAACTTTCCTAACAGACCCCTGCTCCATTGGAAGCTTTTTTATACTCCTGCCAGCCAAGAGGAAAGGTCATGTGAGTCTGTGTACTTACATGGGTGCTGTTGCTCTTCTGGTGGTATCTCTGAATGGCCAAGAGGCATGCCCTTTTCTTTTCTTTTCTTTTCTTTTCTTTTCTTTTCTTTTCTTTTCTCCTTTATTTCATGCTAATATTTTAAATATATATTTTTAATTACTTCAATATCAAAGTACTATTTCTATGTAAATATATTATTACGTTATATACTTATCTGTCTCATGACGATATTGGTTTTATTTTTTCTTTATTGAAAATTTTATAATAACTCATAAAAGGTGCAGATATATTGAAGTGTATTGTAAATTGAGCACCAAGTGATTGTGGCACATAAAAGTGTGTGTATTACCCTCTAAAAGCAGCCAATATTTATACACCTGGTACATATAATTACAAAACATATTATTTTATATTCAAATATAAAACCTACACTATTCCTATAAAATATTATGTAAGTGCTCCTATAAGAATGTCTCCAATTTGCAGTGGCCTTCAGTGTATTTGCTCTCATAACCTGTATTCCAGTCATAGCAAATACCTAACTGTTGAATCTATTAATATTAATATGAATACTATTAAGTGCTGACAGTGTGCTTAGAACTATGCAAGATACAGAATCCTCGCCCTGAGCAGAGGAACTTAGGGCTTGTTCTTATCAATAGCAAAACTCCCATAGACACTCATAGTACAGGATCAGTGTCTTACTGTCTAGCTTAAACTCTCTTCTTGTTTGCCTTTGTGGTGTGAGTTTTAATTGTTGTACTATGTACCAGAAATCCTCGACTGATTCACAGTTACAGGCACAACACGGGCAAAAACTTTCCCATGCTGTCCAGGCCAGGGTGTTTCCTTCCTGTTTGGAAGAAGACCATCTCTATGAGTGAGAGAATTGTTGAATCATTTTGTCTGTTAAATTATTTGCTTCACTGGTGAGATGGACAACAAGCATGCCAGTTGTAGAGGTTTTTATGATACGGTCTTCTGTGCACTTGGAAGTGGACTGGGGCCACCAAACTCATTTCACATGTGATGCTGAAAGTGCCAAAGCCTTCCTTCACTACTGAGTGATGCAGGAGTGGAGCTTTCGAACGGCTCTAATATCACACTACCTGTTGAGCCATCAAATTCCTTGTATTTGGAATTCTTGTGTTAAATGTGTTGGTTTTGGTTGGGAGGTAAGCATTTCCACCACGAGAAATGTCTTCCGTTATTAGCAAAAAGAACAGGAGTACTTGTGGCTCCTTAGAGACTAACAAATTTATTAGAGCATAAGCTTTCGTAGCCCACAAAAGCTTATGCTCTAATAAATTTGTTAGTCTCTAAGGTGCCACAAGTACTCCTGTTCTTTTCGCGGATACAGACTAACACGGCTGCTACTCTGATTCTGTTATTAGTTTACTCCTGCATGTATCTTCTAGAAATGTAGTGTGAAAAGCGAGTTCTCCAAACAAACAAACAAACAACAGAAGAGGAAATACTAATAAAAAATGAAAACAATTATTTAACCATGTAGCCTTTATGAAGGACTGTTCTTTATCTTCTATTTCAATTACTTTCCAAAAGAAGAATACATTTTACAGTATAGCTCTGGGATTTGTGTTATAGGACACTTACCAAAGGAGAAAATT